AGTAGATAATGAGAGAACACCATACACATCTCATTCTCTGACGAATGTGTTTTTTGCCTTTGTTATGCTACTATGGAGTAGAACCTTGTAGATTCTCTGTACCCAGCAGATACCGGGGTAACAGTGTTTACAATGGTTATTTAATGGAAAAAGCATCTCATCACCTATCTTTAAGGACCTTAGTTTTTGTGTATGTGTATTTGTTCTGAAGTTCTTTTCAACTCTAACATTCTATAATTTGTAATAAAAAATATTTTTCATCATCCACACAAAGATGTAAAGTACTTTGTTGAACACACTATGATTTCAAATTAACCACAAAGGATTGAGAAACACTTTAAAAATGTCTAATATTATAGTTTGGGGTTTAAATGTTCCCCAAAGATCCATGAATTGCATATATGGTTACTAGCCTCTTGCACTTTTCAGAGGCAGTAGAACCTTTTACTAGCAGGGCTCCTGAGAAGAAGGAAGATCACAAGGTGTACCCTGAAGAGAGTACCGGAACCCCAGTAAGTGCCTCCCTTCTCCCCTTTCCTTCCTTGCTCTCTCTTTCCCTTCCTTCCACTCTCTGTCCTCCCTCCAGCTCTTCTTCCATCTCTGCTTTTTCTATGCTCCCATGAGGTGAGCAACTCTTTTTAACAAGTGTCTCCAAAGTATAAAGACCCAAAGTAAGCACCAGAGAAAAATAACTTTGGACTAATATCTTTAAAAATAAAATAAAATAAAAGCCAAAGTAAACTTTTTTTTTTTTAAAGCTTTTTGAGTTGATTATTTCAGGCATTTTGTCAAGGTAACGGAAAGCTAGCTAACTCACTAACAAAAAAAAATTTTCTTTTCCTTTCTTTGGCATCATGACGTTAGGCATAGTTTATGTTATGATCACATTTTTCTTGGTGATATCCAGGCAGGGTATTTCCAGTGACTCTTTAACCCTGTGACTTGACTCGCATCTCTTGGTCAATTCCGCTGCTGACAGTGCTCTGCTTCACTGACTGTTCTGTTCAAAGGTTGTGTTTATTCTCTGGCATTGCTGTCTCTTTATTCTTTCTCATTGCCCTCTATACTGATACCACTGTCTGACATTTTTCCAGCACTCTTTCTCATATGACATAAAGTATGTTTCATGAGACCATTGTCATGCTTGCCATTGTATATTCTAATTAAATATCTGGAGCATAGTAGGTATTTATAGAATCAATCAGGTTTATTAAAATCTTTTATAATTATTTTGTGTATAGATTCTTTATTGTGTAAAAAAGTAACCTTAGGTTGTTGGAGATTTGAATGCTTCCAATTGTTTAAAAATAGTTTTTTTTTAATACACATTTATGTTTCTTGTCTTGGATTTTATATAAAGGTCACTTTTATGAGGATTGATATTAAACAGTTTGTTGAATGCCTGGCACTTTTACAAGTATCTTCTCATTGATTCTTCCTGTTAATCTATGTGAGAAACTATTCCTATAAATCAGCTTTGGAAAATCCTAGAAAGTATCTAAAGTTCCACAAAACAAGTCTAGATATGCCTAACTTTAAAGCTTGAGTTCCACAGTTTCAAGTGTATTATTTGTGAAGATTTTTTAAAGGTAGTTTTCATGAGTAGGGTTTTTAAAATTATTATTGTTGTTATTTTAAGCAGAGGTTTTTTTTGTTTGTTTGTTTGTTTGTTTGTTTGTTTGTTTTTGTTTTGTTTAGCCCTGGATGTCCTGGAACTCACTGTGTAGACCAGGCTGGCCTTGAACTCACAGAGATCCTCCTGCCTTCTGCCTCCCAAGTGCTGGGATTAATGGGTGTGCCATCACCACCCAGATATGAGTAGTTTTAATGTATTAGAACATAACATAGTTATCATTTCAAAAGAGAGAAAGAGACTGTGGATGCTTTCTTTCGTGAAGTTGGACAAGGTAGAGACATTTTACCCAGGACCATTCTATTGCATTAGGGTCTACCAGGAGAACATTGACTGATGTGGGGGATACAGCAAATGCTGAACATATCTGAAATCTGCCAAAGGGATTGGATGATAGGGAAATAAAAGATTGAGCTTCCTGATCTTGGTATTGAACAGCAAATAAAAACTGATAAAAACATACTTGGACTTTGATTTATTATTTTAAAAGATTTTTAAAAATTTTAATGGTATGTTTGTCAGCATACACACACATACACACACACACACATACACATACATATGTTTATATGTATGTGGACCATATGCATGCTTGATGCTCATGAAGGCCAGAAGGAGGCATAAGATCCCTAGGAGCTGGAGCTATGGAGGGTTGTGAACTATCATGTGCTGGGAACAGAACCCTGGTCCTCTGCAAGAGCAGAGGATGTCTTATGTACTGGACCACCTCTCCAGCCCTTGGACTTGATTTATAATTGCATAATCAATGGCTAAAATTATTCCATATACTTCATGTTTCCTAAATCTCTGTGTTCTAAAACCTTAAATATTTAAGGCAGGATAAATTTCAAGTCAACCTTTAGAACGCAGAGGAACTGGGAAGATATAAGAAGGATAGAGGTAAAGAAGTGTGTGTGTGTGTGTGTGTGTGTGTGTGTGTGTGTGTGTTTATAAGAGAAACACACTTTTATGTGCGTTTGAACTGGTAGATAAATATATATTTATGTTTGCTTAGATTCATTTGATGCTTACCTTTTTTGGGCTGATGTGTTTATATAAAATTTATGAAATTTATATTTAAAATATTATAAATATACATGTAAATTTATATTATACACATATGTATGTATATTTTTAAGTCCTTCAGGCTGTATTTATCTGAGGCTAGTATAGGAAACTTGACTTGTCTGCTTTGCAATAGCTGAGCTTTTACATTTCCTCAAGTTAACTAGAGATTATTTTTGTTGGAAATAGCAAAACACTGTTTTGTATACTTTTCATTTGTTTTTTCCTCAGTCAGCTTTTTACATTCACTTCCTGTTTCTCTGAGAATGAAGCTGTTGACAGATCTTGTGCTTATTTTGCAACATGGTGAACATGAGTGTATTTTAGCATTCTCCTCTGATTTCACAGTAATGTGAGAGAGATCAGTTTGTTACCGTAACTACACCTTGGCTTCTGATGATGTGCATATACTATCTCATGTTTTAGTATGATTGTTAAGGGAAACCTCATCAGTCTAGTTTATTATGTGTTTATGTGCTTGTTCTTAGAACTTTTTTCATGTGGGGGGGTAGTTATTCTTCATTTCATGAAAGGTAATTATATTTTATAAGCTTTTTTTATTGACTATATTGCCTGCTAGTTAGAACTTCCGTTATGTTTAAATAAATTATGTTGTCTTGATGTGTAGTTAGTGGACATGTTGACTCAGTGTGTGTCTGATGTGTATGTGATGCATATGTGAATGGTTGTATTTGTATGTGTGTGTGTATAGGTATGTAGGTAAACATATATATCTGTGTATACATGTGTGTTTCTGTGTATGTTTGTACTTGTAGGTATTTGTGTGTATATGTGTGTATGTGTTTATTTATAAGATGTATATATCTGTATGTGTCTGCCTGTGTGTGTGTGTGTGTGTGTGTGTGTGTGTGTGTATGTATGTATGTATATGTGTGTGTTTATGAGAAAGCACCTGTCCTCAGTCTGGTTACCTTTTCAGAGCTTCTTAGACATTTTCTATTTGTGAGTACTTTTCTCCTGAGAAATATTTATAGAAAACTATAATATAGGTATGTAAGTCAAATTTACTGATTATAAATTATAAAGGAATATATTTAAGAACAGTTTTGGGTATACATAGAACTTTTATCTTTATTAAAAATAAAAGTCTGCATACTAATGGATGGACTTGCTTTTTTACATAAAAAGCAATTTGATTGAAATTTTGTTATTGCATGGTACAAAGCATATCAATATTTTCACAGTTAATCAGTATTTTGATTTTATAACCATCAATTCTGATGGATTAGTTTGTATAAATGCATGATGTAAAATGGCAAAAAATGTTTGGAGTCATTTTAGAAACTCTTATCTGAACACAAAACTCAAGTTTTAGGATCAAGTATTTATGAAGCCTTAGGAAACCTAAGTTAGCAACTAAGGCCAGAATTTTCAAAGTTAAACTCTCTAATACAATAAGACGCAAAGATACCAATTTGATATGTACATGTTGAAGTATGATGGTAGGAAAAATACTGAAGGATTTATTTTCATAATTAACAAAACAAGACCAAATGCTGCCAGAAACATCTTGGGTAACATATGCTTGATTTTGAACTAAATATTGGCTGTTGCACATTCAGAAAACTCATACTGGTGCCAAATTTTGTCAGTTACTTCACATAATATACAGTTGAGAATCTGGATTCTAATAATCACATTGTAAAGGTGTTCATTATTGAACTCTGTTGCCACCCATCTGTTCTGTATGAGTCCTCTGAGTATATATGTTTGTTAATAGTTTGTTAATAGTTGCCCTTCTGTTTCACTTGGTTCCATATCCATGAATTCAATCAGCTGCTGGTTGAAATAGTCATAAAATTTAGTAAACACTACTGAATGTATATGGTCCTTTTCTTTTTCTATTCCCTTAACAGTAGTGTTAAGCAAGTGTGTAGATTGCATTTACGTGTTTTACTGTACGTAATCTGGAGATGATCTAAAGTATGAGAGAATGTATACAATGCAGATAGTATCCCATTTTATATAAGAGATTTGATTATTCCGTTTTCTGTGCGCAGGTTGGCTGGATGATTTTGAAAAGTAGTCTTTTATAGGTACCAAGTAAAGATTATGCATATACCACATGTGTATGATATAATTACACGTCTGTTACTGCCTTAGTGCACAGTGTGTTTGTGAGGTACATCATCTGGTAGCCGATGTACATTGTGATGGAAGCTTCTTCATTCATTGCATCAGGCCTGAGATTTAATACTGGTCATTTTGCTTTTGTCAGTCATAGCAGTGAAGATGTCAAGACTTTACCTTTTGTAAATAATTCGTTTCCTCCTCGTTGCAGGTCCTCTTGTTCTGCATCACAGCGGCCATGTACATGTTCTTTTTCAGGTATGCTCTGTTCACCAATTTATTTCAATATCTAAATAATATCTTATTCCTTTCAACTATGAATGTAAAGTATCCCCCCACCAAAGTCATTATCTTCAGTAAATGGCATGGATTCCTGTCCACCCAACCCAAGAGTTTAGATGTAAATCCTACTTTTTTGTTAGTAAAGAAACCAGGAAGAGGAGAAACAAGGTTATTTTGGAGGAGTCTGTCAGTTTGACTCAAATATGAATGCAAGCAGTGTCTGCCACTTTCCTATAGCCAGAGCAGCATTGAAAATGTTTCTTGATTAGGGAGAATCTACCTCTTCATAATCTTCACTTTCAGTCATGCTATTTAATTTCTATTGATGGCCCTTGAATGGTACTCCTTTAGATAATTGTTTATTGACTATTGTTTATTGATAGGAAGAACATGGAGGTTTTAACATACGTACTTAGTTGACCAGGGCATTGGCAAACTTGCATTAAGATGTATTTGATACACATATTTTAATATGTTTATCCTATATTATATGTCTAATATCTACTTATAAGTGAGTATATACCATGTGTGTCTTTCTGCTTCTGTCTTACTCAGGATGATCTTTTCTAGTTCCCACCATTTGCCTGCATATTTCATGATTTCCTTGTTTTTAATTGCTGAGTAATATTCCATTGTGTAAATATACCACAATTTCTGTATCCATTCATCCATTGAGGGATATCTGGGTTGTTTCCAGATTCTGGCTATTACGAATAGAGCTGCTGCGAACATGGTTGAGCTTTGTTGTATTGTTGAGCATATTTTGGATATATGCCTAGGAGGGGTATAGCTGGATCTTGAGGTAGCACTATTCATAGTTGTCTGAGAAAGTGCCAGATTGATTTCCAAAGTGGTTGGACAAGCTTACATTCCAACAGCAATGGAGGAGTTTTCCACATCCTCTCCAGCATGGATTATCACTTGAGTTTTTTATCTTAGCCATTTTGATGGGTGTAAGGTGAAATCTCAAGGTCGTTTTGATTTGCATTTCCCTGATGACTAAGGATGTTTACATTCTTTAAGTGTTTCTCTGCCATTTGATATTCCTCTATTGAGAATTTTGTTTAGTTTTGTACCCCATATTTTAATTGGATTACTAGCAAGAAGGAGGACCCTGGGTAAGATGATCAATCCTCACTCAGAAAGGCAAACAGGATGGACATAGAAGAGGGAGAAAACAGAAAACAGGACAGGAGTCTACCGCAGAGGGCCTCTGAAAGACTCTACCCAGCAGGGTATCAAAACAGATGCTGAGACTCATATCCAAACTTTGGACAGAGTGCAGGGTATCTTATGAAGGAAGAGGGAGATGGAAAGAACTGGAGGGGATAGGAGCTCCATAAGGAGAGCAACAGAACCAAAAAATTTGGGCCTAGGGCTTTCTTCTGAGACTGATAATCCAACGAAGGACGATGCAAGGAGATAACCTAGAACCCCTGCGCAGATGTAGCCCATGGCAGCTCAGTGTCCAAGTGGGTCCCCTAGTAACGGGAACAGAGACTGTTTCTGACATGAACTCAATGGCTGGCTTTTTGACCACCTCACCTGGAGGGAGGAGCAGCCTTGCTAGGCCACATAGGAGGACATTACAGCCAGTCCTGATGAGATCTGATAGGCTAGGGTCAGAGGGAAGGAGAGGAGGACCTCCCCTATCAGTGGACTTGAGGAGGGGCATGGGAGGAGATGAGGGAGGGAGGGTGGGATTGGAAGAGTATAAGGGAGGGGCTACAACTGGTATACGATGTGAATAAACTGTAATAATAAAAAATAAATTTTAAAAAGATGTATTTGATATATATTTTCAGTTTCAAATAAATTAAACCATACCAATAATTTTAAGTAGAGATTTTATTGCCAGAACCTTCTAGCAAATATTTGATAAAGTACAGTGTGGTGATTTTAAATTAGTTTTACTTTTTCAAAAATACTGTATGAGAACACAAAATTATATTACTGGTGCCAGGGTATCAGAGACAAAGTGATAAAGCTGCATGATAGGAAGAACTTCATCTTCAAAGCGCTGATAATGAGATGCATAGGATTTTATAGCAGTTATCAGTGATAGAAACATATTGGAGCTTTGTGGTATTTGGGATATGTGTCCTCTGTACCTCCCATTTTTCTCTGCTTTGATTGAACTCAGAGCCTTGTGAGTGCTAGGCCAATCACATAGTCAGCTTGATTTTTAAAATTTATGACTCACACTGTATTTGCCTCGTCATTGTGCTTTGTAGCACACTGTTTCTTCTGCTTTAGTAAGTCTAATTTTGGTAGGCTGAGTTAGAAACCATGAACATTTTATTTAATCAGTTTATCTGGACTCTCTAATTGTGTCATAAAAATTATGAGGATATCACTGTTAAAAAAAAAAAATCAGAGTCCATCTTTAACTTTGTGTCCTGATTTATAGCATGCTTATCAGAAAAATCAGTTTCCAAAATGTTACATAGTTAGAAAAACAACCTTTGTTCACATGCGTAGTAAAGTACAATGTAACGTAAATTTTCTTCTTGTGAAAATCTTAACAGGTGATGAAAGGAAACACTCCTCCCGAAAGTGACCTTTTGGGGTAACAAGTATGCTTAATGTTTAGTATTTTGTAGTTATATGCAGTCTCTGAGGTTTAAAAGCAAATTGTGTACTGAGTACATGGATAAATATTCAGTTTGCTGCCTGGTCCTAGGAAATTATATTTTGAAAACTGCTACCATTAGCCTAGTATTTTTAGTGCACAGGGAAAATCAATCCTATAAATATGTGTTTTGGTGCAGAGCTACAGAACCTTTCCTGCTTCAGTTGCAAATGTCTAATTTAAAAACAACAGTTTAAAATACTTTCCAGAAGTCCCAATACAAGGTTTAGGGGCCAAGATAAACACTTTCAATTTTCTGAGGAAAAGAGGCTATTTTTCTCCCCAAAGAAGCGCTGTCACTGAATTCGCAGTGTTCTTGGCAGAAGTTCATTTGAATAACTCTACAAGGGGATTGCTGAATGGTAAAAATATAGCCCTTTAGAAAGTTCTACAACCAAACAAAACAGTGTTCTGTGCTTTTCTGTACCCTGGCTTGTGTTTAGAATGAATAGTTATTTTACATGGCATTTGGCAAGTCAGATGGCATTTTAATGTAAACACAGGTATTTGTGGACATATTTATTCAATTTATTGTTAGTATTTTAAAGCTAATTGCATAAAATTGGATAATTAAATATAAAATGATATTGTCCTCAGGTCTCCTTTTAATGGTTAATGTCTTTTGGCAAGAGGATAAAGGAACATTTTTATGTGCTAGTGAATTATGTGTTTTTATCCTGATGTATAACTTGGAAGGAGGAAACTGAGACCCATTTCAATAAAGATAAAATGTACCAGTGTGATTTTTCTTTTTAAAGGACGAACTTGAGGGAGTAATTTCATAAATTCTTTCTCATGGAGCTTATGTCTCTGATGTGTGAGTATACTTAAAACCAGCACACTGAGTTTGGTATGCAAATCTCTGCTTACCTAAATGACAATGAAGTACTTTACCCTCACAGGACTCAGTAGATTTTTAAATGGCTCTTTACATACATTATCTTGTACTTGGTGATTGTGATTTTCCATAGGCTCATGTTCAAATGGAATCTTGGGCACTTTAAATGTCTGGATTGGGGGAAAGTGGCAGTTGTAGTTTTGTTCTTTTTTTTTTTTTAATTAAATTTATTTTATTTTAACTAGCTGCCTGACTAGTGTAGGCATCTGGATTCTATTGATCCTACCTGTTATGGATTTCAGTGGAAATACGAAGGAGGAGGAAGCATATTTTGAACATGCTTTGAGAGGATGCTCGTCAAATGTCCCAATGGGAATTCCTGATGTCTTATCTCCTCTGTTCTGCTGCTTAGTCAGTATCTGTACATTTGTCATAGAAGTGCATGAGGGCATGGGCTGCTGCTATGGGTGCAAGCTAAGCAGGAATCATGGGTAAGACTTGATAGAAAATGTTCTCTTATGTCTTCCACACATTGTTTTATGTTCAAGTGTATATTGCTGAGTAAAGTAGTTTAAGTGTTCAAAAACAAAGGAGTCAACACACACACTGCTTTGTTCTGGCTGTGTCTTACTTTGTAGCCTGAATTGGCCTGGAGTTCCCTGCATATTTATGTAGGTCTCATACTTACAGCCATTCTCCTGCATCAGCGTCCTGATGGTGGGAATTACAGGCATGAATCAGTACACCAGATTTAGGATCAAGATGTTTTTATAGTCGTGTGGGATTTTTTTTTTTTTTAGTTGAAACATGAATGAAACAACAGAAACCACAGAGCCCAACAATTACCACTTAACCCTGTTTAGAACTAAAATTAAGAGCCATACTTAGACATGAATTTCTTGCTTTCATTTTCATCATCAGGCATCTGTGTATAAAGAGTGTTGCTGCTCTTTAAAAGCAAGTAAACAGAGTCATTTTTTAAGTTAAACATAGTGTCACAGAGTAACATAACTTGGGCACAAGCTGATGAATACTAGCTGGAAATTCTTCCTACATGCCCCTGTGGAGCCAACAGGGAGTTCTGCAGTGTGCTTAGGGATGTAGCTGATAATGCTTAGACTTGTCATAGCACTTAGTCCACAGGTTATTTAGGATTGTCCTGTAGTACACAATTTGTAAATAATCTTATGTCTATATACATACGGTGACACACTGTGTGTGTATGTATGTATGTATGTATGTGTGTATGTATGTATGTATGTATATATGTATGTATGTGTATGTGTGTGTGTGTGTATTCCTCATTTTTTTTTCTCCCAGTTGGTGAGTTTTGATCAGACACAGGCAAGAAGCCATTTTTCATCATTCTTGGGTATAGATTTAATGTTGTATTTAAAGGAACGTGGTGTTTACCACAGACTGTTTCTCAAGTGGTAGGCATTTCACAAGCTCATCTTTCTGTTTTTAAGGTCAGTAATAGCAAGCAAAGAAGTGTGATTCTCATCT